TTCACCTGTTAATTTAATTTTTTGCGTTATTTTTCCGCTCCTGATATTCCAAACTACTTAGTCATCTACCACGTTAAATGCTTTTATACTGTTTTCCTTCTTCATCTTCATCTACCATGATGGCATCTCCTTTCGGGTCGCTGAGTGCTTCCAGCGTTCCCGATCTTGTGCCGGAGTCTGAGCGTCGTCAGAAGACAACAGGTGTCTGGAACAGACTCTCCATATATTTACACCAGGTTAATCTTGTCCTTCCTCTCGACCTTCTGCCGGTCGGATTCGCAAGAAATAGTTGCTTAACCTTCCTTTCTGGTCGCATTCGCAACACATGCCCAAGCCATCGCAGCTGTGACTTTCAGTCTGGAGAAGCAGAGGCTGTTCACCAAGGCTCTTGCGGATTTCTGTTCTTCGGACCATACCGAGAAGCATAAAGTCAGCGAATCGGCTAACAAAACCCATTTAAGCAGCTTTTACCCGGGTTCGAAGCTTTTCAGTCATGGTCTACGTTCACCATTCATGACCGTAGTAGGAATAGAGATAAAGATCGACTAGAACACCGAGAGCTTAGTTTTCACACTCAGTTCTGCTTTACTCACAGCAGCTAGTTCATACAGAACGCCACGGGTTACTCCAGTCCGCCGGCAGATCCCTTCCTCAGATTTTCCATCACCAACAAATACCACTCCGAGGTACTTGAACTTCTCCACTTGCTCCACTGCTCCTCCGTTAATCTCAAAAAAGCAACTAGTTGACTAGTTGAAGAACGAGAAAGTACTCGGCGTTTCATTTTAGATTCGTTCACACACATGCCGGTCAAGTCGCACTCGGTTGCAAACCTTCCCAGGCAGCAGTGTAGATCGGTTTCAGAAGATGCTAATAAAACAAGGTCGTTTGCCAGCAGCAACCTTCTCGTCTTCTCATTTCCTACACCGATACAGTCATTGTCTTGGCCGTTCTTGACTATTCTATCCTTGTAAAAAACAGACAGGAGACGGAACAGGACGCAGTCTTGCCGGAGACCAGTGCGAAAGTTGAATAGTTTCGACTTAACGCCATTAACTCTGACACAGCACCTGCTATCAGAATACAATGATTAGATGGCCGTTAGCAGCTGGCCATCTATCTCGTATGTTCGAAGGCATGACTACAGACTGTTGGGTGGGATCCGGTAATAGGCTTTTTCTTCGTCCACAAAACACATGTACACTTGCTGGGCGAACTCCCACGATTTCTCAGCAGTCTGGGGCAGGGCAGATATATGGTCAGAGGTGCTTCGACGGGCCGGAAGCCACACTGTTCTTCTTGTATCTTGGAGTCACCTCTTCTCCTGCACCTCCTTTCTAGCACTTTTCCTTAGATTTTACCTGGGAGGCTCAATGATGTAACGGCCCGAGAATTGGAGCACTCGTTGTTGTCTCCCTTTTTGAACTGAGGTATAACAACCACAGTTTTGCAATCCGTTGTTGTCTCCCCCTAGCTACCGCAGTTTCACGGGCACTTTTAGGACAATACATGCCCAATGCCTTGTACACCTATTGCATACAGCGTTTAAGGGCGGATTTCATCAATTTCAGCAGCATTCTCACCTTTCATAACTTTTACTGCTTGTGTAATTTCATTTACAGAGATAGTAATGTCCGTTCCCTGCTGCTTTACGGATAAGTCTTCCTGCGGTTGGTCGGAGTTAAGCAGGTCCACAAAGTATTCTCTCCATCACCGAAGAATGTTCTCTTCCTTGGTAAGAGGCTCTCCAGGCCTGTCTTTCAAGACTCTTAATCTGCCCTTCTTTTCACCGCGTGGTAGCGAATGATCTGCCAGAATGCCTTTGCCATGTGGAAATTCGACTCCAGCACCTCAACGAACTTCCCCAGGAATCAGCTTTGGCTTTTGCCACTGCTTTGGCCGCCTTCTTTGCATCAACATGTCGCACACGAGCAGAAGGCTATTTGTTTCCACACCATTTTTCCTGAATGTAGCCTTTTTCTCTTTAACTGCCAATTGTACCTCTCGTGTCTACCAGAAAGATCTTTTCTGACCTCCAGGCGGCAGGCCAATCCGTTTATATCCGCAGCATTCGGCAGCAGCCCCTAGTAGTCCTCTTTTAAACAGCTGCTACTCGGTTTCAACATCGGTTGTCATCGCTGGGATCTGTTCAAACCGCCCTCCGGTGTTATTTGCAAATTTCGCTCCCATATCCACCAAAGGTAATCTTTCCCATTTGATTCTTTGGTTTCTTCTGTCACAGGTCTTGACATTGTGCTCTATCTTTTACGGCTTATTATGCCAACAATGTGCTGACTGGTCGATAGCTTTGCTTTTGTGTTAACGTGAACGTCGTCTACAGAGCGTTATAAGACGGGCAATGTGCATATCAAATTGATTTTCGATTTCAGTGCAGGTATATTATGGACGCTTCGATGCTCGCGGGTGTGCATAATGGACAGTTCGTTGTTTGCACAAAACCGCAACAACTTAATGCCGTTATTGTTGAGGTCGCTAGGGCCGTTTTCCCAATCACGCCGTTCCATTTTTCAACGTCTATTCCGACGTGCGCATTAAAATCGCCTATCAATATGAGGAACTCTGTATTCGGCACTTCGGACAGAACACACTGCATTTCCTCAAGAAAGGAATCATATTCTCCATCACAGTTGGGCGCATAGCCCTGTAAGAAGGTCACCACTTGAGCCTGTTGTAGGTTCAGTCGGAGGATTACCACCCTTCCGTTGACAGGCTTCCAATCGATAATTCTATCTGTGAGCTTGGGTTCTACCACTACACTAGTACACCAGCAACGGCCTGAGCGCGTCGCAGTATCGACGCTTGAGTAGAATAACTTCCATCCATTGAGATTCGGGAGTCCAGAGTCTGGGCGTTTCGTTGACGAGAGCCCAACAATGTCGAGTTGTTACTTTATGGCCTCATTAACTAATTCTTATTCTTTTCCTCTAAGTGAGGATATATTCCGATTTCCGACTTTAAGCTGCCACTGGTGGTGTCGTTTCCGTGGAGCCTTTTCTGACGTGCTGTAATGACATCGCGCTGTCTGCCTCCTC